TGTCACTAAAAGGATGCCCGACTAATTTCGAGCTAAAACTGGAGCCTGTGAACGAGTGGCGATGGTGACGTCAAGTGGCAAAGTAGCTAGACAGCCTCGTAATATAATGGGCGTAATTAATTTTATTATTAGTATGTCGCTGGTAACTGAATGCAAGATCAATAAGGAAACGTCTAAGCCTCTTCACTGACTTTAACTTTGACTGCACGAATGGTGCGGTGGCTAGGTAACTGGCTGCTGCGCAACGTGTCGCGGGTACGATTCCCGCACGTACCAACTCTGTGTGATCCACAGATTGTTGTTCCGGGTCTGGGTGTCATGTGTATGTGAACTTGTATGTTTCTAAACGCACCCACGACACAGGAGAAATTCCTAGAACCTAACGGGTTACCAGGGCTCCGGCTCGACGTGCAGGAGAAGGAACGGGGTGGTTTTTTGTCAGTAAGAGTCTGACACTCCCTCCCGCCTCACCCGTACGGGAGCAGTCGTTCGATGACTTTCCCACCTTATTTAAGTTTACTAGAAATATGTCACCCAGGTTATAGGTTATGAAAAGTTACTCTTGGAGTCGCAGTGCCTTCTGAATGGTTTTTATATTAAGGTAAATTGCTATCACGATGCCGATGTCGCAATAATTAGCATTTAATTGATAGATAAAACCTACAAATCAGCACGTAAATATATTCTGCCTTAGTCAAATACAAATCGCTATCGTCTATCACTAAAGAGCACATCTCTTCCGCTGACGCGTCCCTGTTAGCTGAATAACAAACACTTGCCCCAGGTTTTGGATCGGTTACACTGTTAGCAAGACCCTTCGTCATGAGCTAATGTTCACATGTAAACAGCAGCTCGTGTAGTGTAGATGTCCAGTCAACAAGGATGTAGCGAGGTTGACTGTCCAGGCGACACACGTACTTAGGTATCGTCATGAGCTAATGTTCACATGTAAACAGCAGCTCATGTAGTGTAGATGTCCAGTCAACAAGGATGTAGCGAGGTTGACTGTCCAGGCGACACACGTACTTAGGTATCGTCATGAGCTAATGTTTACATGTAAACAGCAGCACATCTATGTAGTTTGGTTCAGTGGCTACTTTTAGCCACTGAACAGTCAACCTCGCTACATACTTGTATACTGGACATCTACACTACATGAGCTGCTGTTTACATGTGAACATTAGCTCATGACGATACCTAAGTACGTGTGTCGCCTGGACAGTCAACCTCGCTACATCCTTGTTGACTGGACATCTACACTACATGAGCTGCTGTTTACATGCGAACATTAGCTCATGACGATACCTAAGTACGTGTGTCGCCTGGACAGTCAACCTCGCTACATCCTTGTTGACTGGACATCTACACTACATGAGCTGCTGTTTACATGTGAACATTAGCTCATGACGATACCTAAGTACGTGTGTCGCCTGGACAGTCAACCTCGCTACATCCTTGTTGACTGGACATCTACACTACATGAGCTGCTGTTTACATGTGAACATTAGCTCATGACGATACCTAAGTACGTGTGTCGCCTGGACAGTCAACCTCGCTACATCCTTGTTGACTGGACATCTACACTACATGAGCTGCTGTTTACATGTGAACATTAGCTCATGACGATACCTAAGTACGTGTGTCGCCTGGACAGTCAACCTCGCTACATCCTTGTTGACTGGACATCTACACTACATGAGCTGCTGTTTACATGTGAACATTAGCTCATGACGATACCTAAGTACGTGTGTCGCCTGGACAGTCAACCTCGCTACATCCTTGTTGACTGGACATCTACACTACATGAGCTGCTGTTTACATGTGAACATTAGCTCATGACGATACCTAAGTACGTGTGTCGCCTGGACAGTCAACCTCGCTACATCCTTGTTGACTGGACATCTACACTACATGAGCTGCTGTTTACATGTGAACATTAGCTCATGACGATACCTAAGTACGTGTGTCGCCTGGACAGTCAACCTCGCTACATCCTTGTTGACTGGACATCTACACTACATGAGCTAATGTATGAGGCTTTAGGGACAATATACTTTTGACTTCCATTAAAAGTTTAATCTGTACTGCCGCTCTCACAAACACCACGCCTCATCTAATATGATTCCACACGCGTCGTCTGTCCGTCCGATTATGGCAAGCCAATGAATGGAATGTTTTAACAGCTAATCCTATGTTAATGTAAGGGAACAGACAGGTATCGTGCACTTGTTTATATTATAGTGAAGTATTCAAAGTAGATAGGGCTTAGTCATCGTTTCTGTAAAGATAGGTACTTCATAATACTTCACATCTTTGTCTTCACGTGCTTATGGTTTACAGAAAGTCGAACTTATTAAGATCCTTATATCTTTCTTTAGCTTCCATCATTCATCACAGTCGTACTAAAAGTTCTTTATCGTCTCTTGGCTAGTTCCCGGTATTTGATTACGAGTATAAAGTTAATCATTCTTTTATAACTTTAAAAAAAAAAAACGTTGCCCCCACACTAGGATTTTCTCCTGTGTCGTGGGTGCGTTTACAAACATACAAATTCACATACACATGACACCCAGACCCGGAACAGCAATCTGTGGATTACACAAAGAGTTGTTCTGTGCGGGAATCGAACCCACGACACGCTGCACGGCAGTCAGTTGCCCATCCACCGCGCCAACCGTGCAACTACGTTTAAGATAATCGACTTAACCCCCTCTTTTTTGAAGTCGGTTAATTAAACTGTCAAACACCAAGCGGTCACCGGTGACCGCAACCTATTGTTCTATAATTGTGTCTATAATGACGATACTCAACTAGTTAATACACTAAAACTTTCTCCTAAGTGTATCAAATACTTTTCTGAAAACCGCTTCAAAATCAGTTCAGCCAGTCGCGAGATTATCACGCACAAACATACATACAGGTCAAACTGAGAACTTCCTTTTTTATCATTTTTGAAGTCGGTTAAACACCTCACTTCGGTTCATTTCCCTATACGTGTACATGTGTATGTATCCAAAGTCCAATCGTATAAAAATTTCATATTATTTTACCTCATCAATTTCAAGTTCTTTTCAGTCAGTTATCATGCTTACCACTCGACTGAGATACAGCAAAGTTTCCTTAACTAAATAATTAACGTTGTATCCCAATTTATTAACAACGCCTACCAGAGGTGCAGAGATGGATTACACCTAATGAGCGCCCTAGGCAAGCACCTCATAGGCGCCACTAATTTTATTGGCGCCGCCGACACTCTATTGGTAGTTGTGCACGCACGTCTCGCGGCGCCCCTCTCTAACCTGGCGCCCTAAGCAGTTACCTAATACGGCTCTGCAAGGGTTTATTTATAATACCTACTTACAAAAACTTTCCCAATACATAAACATAATCCACTCTAATTAAAAAACTTTGCCTATTCGTTATATGTATACTTTGGTTAATGCTACAGTAATTGTAATAGATGTTGTGTTTGTTTTATTAATTGAGTAAGTTTTGGTCAAAGATATAGGTATGCAAACAAAGATTTAGTGGTCATGGAACTTGGAATATTTGTTTACAAAGCTGAGAAAATAGTCTTATCAATCGCTTGAATGTCGGTATATGAGATACAAACACATTGTGTTTCCGTAGATCTGTGTTCTGGGATACCACGTGTTAATACTGTTGTGGGTCGCTAACCAAAACAAATCTATACTTCTATACTAATATTATAAAGAGGAAAGATTTGTATTTTTGTATTTTTGTATGTTTGTAATGAATAAACTCAAAAACTACTGGACCGATTGCAATAATTTTTTCACCATTAGAAAGCTGCATTTTTCAGAAGTAACATAGGCTATATAATATCACGCTAGGTCCTATAGTTGTGGAGCAGTAACCAAAAATGTTTTAAAAACGGGGGAAAAGTATCGTTTCTGAGGCCTTCTGTGGCGTGCAATGAGCATATAGTTAAAGTTATACAAAAATGCTCTATAGATGAATTGTTCATCTTAACATTATTTTTAAAAAAGTCCGCGAGAGCATATGTCTACCTTTTATAGTTTACCCATAACAATCGTTTTAATGAATGGTTAAATCCTTATAAAAGTTTGCTCTAGATAACTTTTGAATTGTTCAATCGGTTACCTTAAGACTATTAATTCATCCAAAAGATACCTATTAGGTAAGTACTTACCTACTATTTCAAAAATAATAAACTGAGAAAAAATATAAATAAAACGTAAAACTATGTAAAAAATCTTAAGTCCCCCCGTGCGAAGCCGGGACGGGCCGCTAGTAACTGATATTAGAGAAGTTGGGAATCATCATTGGTAAGCAGGGGCTGTAACTATATACTTTTTCTTAACATTACGCCTTTTATCTCCGAAGGAGTAGGCAGAGGTGTATTGCATTACGGCACTTATGCCATTATACTTTTTTTTTTATTAAAACGTAAAATTTTAGAGTGGGGCACCACTCTAAAATTTTATCCTGTGTTGTGGGTGCGTTTAAAAACACACAAGTTCACATACACATGACACCCTGATCCGAAACAACAATCTGTGGATCACACAAAGGGTGGTTCCGTGCGGGAATCGAAACCGCAACACGTTGCGCGGCAGTCAGTTGCCCAACCACCACACCAATCGTGCAGTATGTAACACCCACTTTTCACTTATGAGTCCCACGTAATAGGGGGTGAGCTTATTGCCATATACCGGTCACAATTCTAGACTTCTTGGTACAGTCACTGAGAACTATATACTTTTATCATTAAAACAAATATCGATTCGAATGGGCCGCCTCACAGATACCACGGCACAGAAAACCGAAATGAAATGCTTGCATCATGTTAGTGGAGGTCACAAATAGCCCCATCTCCGATCTCCAAACATACAACATTGCACTTGCAACTCTAGGGTATCAGATGTCTATGGGCGGCATCGATTATTTACCATCAGATGATCCGTCTGCTCGTACGTCAGGATAATAGTAATGAAATCGTTTTCTCACATTTCCAGATGCACCGTGGTCCTGTACAACGTCAGGAAGAACAGGCAGTCGCATGTGTTGAACGCGTGCCGCAAGAGTGTCACCTGCGTGGCGTTCTCTCCCGACGGACGGTACCTCGCTACGGGGGAGTGCGGACATGCCCCCGCCGTCAGGGTGTGGGATCTACAGGTCGGTAATTTGAGGGACTGCACTTCTAGATAAAGTTCAGTATCAATGACTTCGACTGCACGGTTGGTGCGGTGGCTGGGCAACCGGCTGCCATGCAACGTGTCGCGGGTTCGATTCCCGCATGGAACAACACTTTGTGTGATCCACAAATTGTTGTTTCGGGTCTGGGTGTCATTGTGTATGTGAACTTGTATGTTTGTAAACGCACCCACTACACAGGAGATAATCGTAGCGTGGGGCAACGATTTTTAAAGAAAAAAAAAAACAAAAAATAAGAAAATGATCATTAGCACGAAACAAATGTTTGATAATATTTGAATTTTGAAAGCTGTACTGTTGATCTTCTGACTTATTATCGATGACCGCATGAAATCTAATATGAAATCTATATACCACCATAGAGGCGTCTCTATGTTGGTGCTTTATAGACTAGATTGTTATTATTTGTGAAATATATTCTATTGTTTGGTTTTGTAACACTGTTTATGTTTATAAACAATAGACAGGTGTGCTAGCTAGATAAGTGGGTTTATTTTGATTGTAGTCTATTTGCTTT